ATTCAACCATGTTAACAGCTGTAGGAAGGATCTCCTGTAGCAGTCTGTCTTTCAGCAGATACAGAGAAACCTCTGACTGAAGGCACTCTATTGTTGCAAGCTGTCTGATGAAGAGGATGCTCATGGTTGTCCATAACATTCTTCATTTTATGTAAAAATCTTTTTTTGTCATCTCTAGGAAATCAAAAGAAGTTCCTAAAACAGAAACTGGCCATGTTTCTACTCCTCATAGTCCTCATAAAGACCAGATAACTGTCCTGTTTAATAGGTTCTTCCACCTGAGCGATGGAGCTCTGCTGCTCCTCTGAAGTTACAATATAGAGCTTTTTGCTCTGTATTCATGCTCTTTTCCCAGCCTTTCAAAGTTGACAGACTGAGCTGTGCTCCAGTAGAAGTTGACCTTGCTTTCAGTGGAATCTGGATAAAATGCTCTGAATACAAATGGGAGACTTTTTCTAGTTTTCAATGGAAGAAGGAACATTCAATCAACAATCAATGAAGTTTTTATTTTGACAAAAAAAATGCTAACATTTTCAAAAAGATATGAACACTCTTTCTAGGCATAATATGTTCACAACTGGCATTTTTTTTTTTACATATATGATTCCTAAATAGTTATTGACTTTTAGAGATGAAATATTGATTGTCTGATGAAGGACCAGTTAAGAGGACAGAAATTAGATATATATATTTTTTGAGTTTTTACAGCACTAGTGGCTCTTTTGCCTATGGATAGTAGGCTGACAACAAAGGGGATATGATAGAGGGGGAGAGACTTGCAGGAAAGGACCACAGGCCGGATTCGAACCCAGGTCATGTATGGAGGACTAAGGCATGGATTGTGCTCTAACCACTCCACCACCAAAGGATGCCCAGAAAGAAATTATATCTACTAAATGTTTCATTCTGTCTTTGTCAGTAGACTACATGACTCAAAGAGTTTTACAAAGTATGATAAATGATATTTATTTATGTATTTTTATTTAAGCTAATGGCTGCATGACCCATTCCTATTGGATGAACATCGTTAAAGAGAGATGTTTTCTCATTTCTTTTTTTTTTTTTTTTTTTGCTTTTTTCCAGTGGTTGATTTTACCTGCAACTCAAAATCCTTTCACCACAAAGTTAGCAAATTTTGACCAGAATATAAAAATTTCTTTTGAGGATCTATAGGGTTCACTTGAATAATCTAACCATCTATAATGGTATGATTTATTTTCTCTAAAGCATGATAAAAATGAGGATGCAGCCTTCTGGCCTGTGCTGGTTGGCTATAGCTCTGCAGGGAGTGTCCTGTTGGTGGAACATTCAGCTGTGATTTAATTGCACCCTGCCCCCTTGTGGAAGCTGACTTGATGTCACAGGAGGGTTTGGGGAGGCTTAATGGGAAGCTCCTCATAAACACTGAGTCCATGAAGAGTCATAAAGTCACGCCTTATTATTCATTTAGTACCAGCAGCTCATTCAGCTCATCTGCCATATGAACACATTTTATTAAATCATGGTTCACTTTAAACACATTTCATACTGATTTCTCTTTAAAATCTAATCCATTACAAGATAAACATAAATAATGTTTAACATGATTTTTAAATTCTTCTAATGTTTCCAAATTTAAACCCATAGCTCCGTTAATGCTCTGCCTTAGACAGCGTCATTGTATTAACCCATGTCCTTTAAATCACTTTTTAAAGTGTGCTGGAGACATCACATTAGAACTACTTATGAGAAGGACAGGCAGATAAGCTCTTCAGGTTGGTCTCCTGCCTAAATGTGTTAATGTTAGATAAAATAACAGCCTTGTGAGGGGAAACTTCACTAAACTCTAGATAAGTATGCCCCTTTCCTGTTATCACAGGATGTCAAACAGGATGGGGAGCTGGCCTTAGTTTTTCATTTCAAGCCTTGCTTGCTGTGGCAGAAGATTCCAGATTACAGGGCTCATTCAGAAACATGATTTTTGCCACAAACATGATTGTGGGTCTGGAAAAAAAAAAAAAGTGTTCATAATGATTTGTAAAAAATTCGGATTCGTACGATGAATTAAAATAAAAAGAATCTCTAACATACAGTTATAAAACCAAACAGGTAAAACCAGATTTTGAATGTATATTTTGACCATTTCCTTGGTTTAAAACTTTTTGAACCCAGCCTGTATAATGGTGCAAAATTCAGACTTAAAACAATGTTTTAATTAAAAACATTTTCATCCATATTTACAGTCCTTGTGTAATTACTACCACTTTACTGTACAGTAACTTCCATCTATTGAGGTTGTTTATATTTAGTGTTACAGGCTGGGTTAGGGTTATGGTTAGGAATAGCTCTGGGTGTAATGGTAAAGCTGCTTCCATAAAGAGCAAAAAAGCACAGAGACAGTGTGATTAAAAAATATATATATTCATGGGAAATTTTGTATGATTTATTTGATATTTTTCTATATCTAGGGATGATTTAGAAAGTGAAATATATCTGTTGTGACTTTTTAGGAAAAAAAATGCATAAAAAGTAAATGATAATTTTACAATATCTTTTTTGACAGATATAATCTGTTAGAATTAATAAAAAAAGGATAAATACTATTAAAACAGCTCTCAAACTCTTCTATTAATATGGGAAAATAAACAAGTCCACACTAAAGTCATTACAGTGATGTTGTAATATCAGTAAACTTGCAATAACCCAGAGCCCTACCTAAATGAAAAAGCATAGAGAAGCTCCTAGGGAGGCATAACTGTGGGCTCATAATACTGAACACCAGCCATCACTGCTGTGAGATGGCATGATATAGATCGAAGGAGTCACTTCATTACCTGTTGCACAGAGCAGAGGTTCCCATGTTATATTGAGGCACCTTAACCTCCCCACCCCACCCCTGGCTCGTTTTTTTCTCTCCCACTAAACTCAGTAAACAGCTGCACCATCCCTGTGGTTGTATACTGTCAAAGAGTATCACCTTACTGTGTGTTATAACACTGGGAGCGTCTCCACTCACTTTTCCACATGAAAAATGCGACTTCCTAATCTAAATGTAAAATCAATGATCAGCTGATCAAATACAATATTTTATATATTGAAACATAAAAAACTCTTTTGAAAAAAAAACACAAGTAAGGATAAGATTTTATTTGACCAATCCACCTTAACAGTGTTCAATAAAACAGTCAGTAAAATTACAAACAACATTTACATTTTACCTCCCTGTAAGCAACCTATCAGTTTTGGCAGCATCAGCTCAGGTGCAGATAGTAGTTTGTCCAGGTCCTGAATGATGAAGCAGGCCCAGACCATCACACTACCACCGCCATGTTTCACTGTCAGCATAATGCTTGTTTTCTAAAATGCTGTGTCACTTTTACACAGGATGGGAGAAGGCAGAACTTTTCTACATCTTGAGAATCATCCGTTGTTTTTTTTTTGCAGAGATGAGACTTATAAATATGCTATCTTTTGTCGGCAGTGTTTTGTTTTGGCTCTCTCCTATGTATGCCATTTTTGCTTAAGTCACTTTTTCGTTAAAACGTGAACTCTGATCTTGCTGAGTCAGGGGAAGCTGTAATTCTTGTGTATTCCTCTGGGACCTCTTGAATAAAATGATGGCGTCTTCATGGAGTAATCCAGGCAAGCTGAGCAGGTTCCCCACTGTTTGCTTGGTTGGTCGATACTGACGGTGGTTGACACAATTATGCCAATTCAACAGCAGTAAAGTGAGGGGGGTGTTATGGTATTTTTTTTTGGTTCACAGGATTTGGAAATATTAGCAGACCATCAGATAAAGGTTTGCTTACCATAGCTCTACCAGCTGAATTTTAAATTTATTTATTTAATTAAATCATGATTTAAATCAGTTTTTCGTATCTACTTAGGTTATCTTGTCTGTGTGGTGGGAAACATATTTCTTGCTCCAAACCGTCTTTGTTTTGTTTAGGTTGACTGAAAAAAAAAATGGTCTCAATCTTCTTGGGTAACACTAAGACCTTTTTTAATGAAAAGTTAATGGGACCAAAAAAGCCAGGGGACACTAGGGAGGAATAAACCAAAAGTATGACGAGGATCCAGCAATGAGTAACTGAACAGGAGGCGTCTATATCATTAGACAAACTTTTTGTAATGTTGTTTTTTATTTCTGCATTTTTTATTTTATTTTATTTTTTCCTACTTGCTTTGATTCTGTTTTAGTTTCCTATATTTTAATCATGTAAAGCACTTTGCATTGTCTTTGTACTGAATTTTGCTATACAAATAAATTTTACTTGTCTTGCCTTGCCTTGCCTATATGGGAGACAGAACAATGGGAGGACTAATTAGCTGTAAGGGAGCAGGTGTGGACAGAATTAACTAGTAGGGAGCTTAGGGAAAATACAACACCAACTGAATATAAATAAATATGGAAAAGAAACCAATTACAGAACGACATCAAAGTGTAGCTGAGAACTTAAGAAACTTAAAAATGGAAAAAAATGGCAGAATCATGACAGAATCTATTTAAATGATTGGATCATGTTAATTATGAAGTAAACTAAAATTAATGAAATCATAATTTGTTAGAATCTGAACTAATCTGACTTGTTATGTGACTAGAAATTATGGTAACCTTTTCGGAAGCAATTTAACAAGTTAATCTTTGAAATAGAGCAAGATTATTACCACAGAAATTTTACTATAAAAAAGTCCAAATAAATCTAATTAGAGCTCCAGATCTCTGTCAGTGGGACATAGCAATCGGGTCCAAATTAGTAAAAGACTTAATCCTGCCGCTTCTACAGCTCAAACCTCAGGAGATTCCTAACCATTGTATAACAAAATATTTGAATTATTTAAAATAATGAAGTCATGCAATAAAGTCTTCTGAGAAAGCTTTAGTGAAAACTCTGTAAATTCATGAATAATTTAAAGAACCCTATCATTTTACTTGAGATAAGCTTCCCGGGTTGCCATGGTAGGACTGCATACATTATTTACTGGCTGCGTCAGTGTGACTGCTAGGCAGCTTACTGGCTCCCACTGGTTTTTAGATCCTTTCACACAGCGAGGATTAAACCTGCTAATAATCCATGGCTAACAAAATACGTGGCTGAGCTGGATTTTCACCTGCGAATGAGAGGCAAGGAGTCGGACAGCAGTGTGCTGGACCATGTAATGTGGCAGAGGGGTTCAAATGGAGGGGACAGTCATGACAGAAGGACCGGAGAAGCCACAGAGGCGGGTGAGGTTCCGGGTGGCTTCAGGGAACAGCGGCCGGGTGCTGAAGGAGATGTTTAAGGATGAGGTGCCCTCGGACTCCCTGGATTCAGACTGCACCAGCAGCTCGGACGCTGATCGGGCCAGCACCCCTTCAACCACTGGAGAGATTCACGGGAACCTTTACGGATACCTGGGCTCAGAGCTGGATGACAATGAGAGTGAGCCCGATGAGCTGCTCCTGTATGCGGGGGCCACCAAGGATTGGATGTTCACCACCAAGAGGGTCAACATTCTAAGCAAGAACGGGACGATCCGAGGGGTCAAGCACAAAGTCAGCGCAGGTCAAGCACTCTTTGAGAACCTTCCTAACGGTGTAAGTACCTGTTGGTCATAATCCTGTTACTACCTTAGTGGTTTTAAGACCTCCGAGTCCCAGATTGAATCTACTAAGCCCTACAAAAACACATTCAGGAACTTTCCATTACTTCCTTAAAGTCCATCATATTTCATTTGATCTGAAAGACCAACTTGAAGAGTTGCAAAATTTTATAGTGAAAGGAAAATAAAGATGCCTCTTAAACTTATTTTTAAACGAAAAGTTTGAGTAAGTTGTAGTATTCAGACTGTTTCTCAAACACTGCAAATAAAAGTCTGATTACATTATTTTAGATATTGCCAAACTAGTTAAGAGAGTACAGCCGTGAGGACGACTCACTTAATCTCAGTCCAAATATAGCTGCTCTGTCAAGGATCTCAGAGGTTTGTTCAAAAAATTAGTGAACAAAATCCACATGTAGACACATGAGACATGAGGAAGACCATCCTCTTATCACATTACTGCTCTATTTGAAAGCTACCACTGCACATCACCCTGAGCGCACCATTCCAATGCGGAAACATGGTGGAGGCACTGTAATGCCATGAGGAGGGTTTTAAATATTGGTGAAAAAAAAACAAGTTTTAGAAGTTCCTGAAGGCTTGAGATCTGGGCAGATGTTCACTCACATATTGCAGGGCAGACAGTCCTGCTTTCACTATGCTTCATATCAGACTAAAATACTAGTGTACATAAGAAAAAATACTGTAGAGATAAACCCCTAAAGATTAGCAGCTGGAAGCAGTTTTACAAAACTTTGAATCTAAAAGGTTTAACACAACAAGTAATGCACTTTTATTAATTATTGGGAAAAAAAGAAGAAATACACAACTGTTTTACAACTGCAGATCATTCTGTGTTTAAACATCACAAATGTTTCCAACGTTTTTATTAATGTCTGTGTTTGTAAACTGGCAGAACTTTGGTTATATGAATACTTCTGCAGTGGACCTTATCTGTAGCTACAGAACCAAACAAAAGATCACCACCAAAGGGTGAGGTCACTGTGTAATTAAAGATTAATGATGCATTTCATTAAGTGTTTCAGGAGAAACTAATCAGGGTAATGTGTTACTAGAAAGTAACGTTTTCTAGTATCATAGCAGCACTGCTGCATGGCCCTCCTAGATAACCCTGTGTGCAAATCACAGATTATATAGATAGTCAGAGCAAACGGTTACCTGAAGATATCAGGACCACTGATTGCCTTTTCCTTACAGAAAGTGATAAAATCCATATGATGAGGTAGAGGCCTCAACTGAGCAATGTCAGAAGTTAGAAAGAAAATGAAAATATATAGCGAAAAATGTCTCTAAATGTCTATGATATATAAAATTAAAGACTAATTTGGGACAAACTTGATACGTGATACTCATTTTGAAAATACAACTATTTACTTTGTTAAACTAATCTGTATTTGTTTTTCAAGTACAAACAGGGACAGATCTTTTTTCTCAGGAATCTCAGGAATTTAAAATACTACATTGTACAAATTATTTTTTGTTCAGCGGCAAGCCACTGACTCCCCGTAAACTCTTGGGAACTCCCTGTTATGTTATTGCATTTGTTTGGGAAAGTTGAATGGAAGGAAAAGCTGTTAGAATAGGACACAAAAGTTGAAAAATTTTGCACAACTTTTAGATTGTTTTAAGATTAAACCAATACAAGAGCTCATGAGAGATTTCCAAATATTGTGGAGTCAGCGCAGTAGGAGCCACCCCGCACACTTCGAAGGCTAAAACGGTTATATTAAGCCTGTCCTGAACTAAAAATAAGATCGTATAAGTTTTTGGAAAGATATTATTAGGTTTCTATCTGAACTGCTTAAAGTAAAAGTCCCATTAGAGGTAAAAATGTATCCAATAGAATTTAAAGCATCACAGAGGATAACTACATTAATAGACTACGGACTTCTTCAAGCCAGAAGATCTGTTGCACTATGTTGGAGGAGCATGGAAGCCCCCTCCATGAGACTGTGGAGAAAAGAGGTTGCAAGCTCACTTGGACTGGAAAAGCTAACATACATTGCAAAAGGCAAACAAAGGGACTCTGAGAATCTATGGGAGCCATATATGAGGATTGTAGGGACTGAAAGTGGAGCTCAATGATGGGAGTTTTGAATGGATTTCTTTACTACAGTTTTTATTCATATATTGCTACTTTTCTTTTTTATGTCTGTGCCTTAATCTAAAGGGCATTGTATATTTTTGCAGCTGGACAAATGCAGGTTTAAATGGTGAATGAATGAGTGAATGAATGTGTATATAAATACATGTTACAAGGTTACGTTTGTATTTTTTGTTGTATTAAAAAAGAGAAAAATCAATAAAATATATTGGAGAAAAAAAAGATCATATAAGAGTTTTACCTGGTCAAAAGTCCTTTTTAAAGATTAAAATTTTACATCTGAGTTGGAAGTTCAGATCTCAGAGTCACAGTGGGTTGATTGAGGTCTGCTGTGAAGTTTGAGGGCAGTCATTTGCCAATCAGAGCTGAACAGCTTCATGGAGATACTGCTTTTATTTTTCAGTTGGACCAGATACCTTCCTAGACAAGCAAAAGCCCCAACCATAATGAAACAACCACGGTATGACTGTAAAATGACATGTGAGACACCGACCAAACAGGCTGCATGGATCCACAGGTTAATGCCTCCAAGCAGTTTGGCTTAAGCAGTAATTCTTGCAAAGGAGTCCAGAGTAATAATCCACTGCACATACAATACAGCTCTTTCTCATTTTGAGTTGGTTAAAAAATTTTTGGAAAATATATTTTTTTTTCTGATGCAATTTTTTTTGTGAAACTGCTCTTTGGTTATCCTTCAACTTTAAATGATGATCATCAAAACAGAAATTAAAGATTGAGATGAATGTGAGTTGTTTCTTCGAACAAGATGAGTTTCACTTCTTGAATTGGATATCTAAAATAAAAAAACAAATGTCCGGTAAGCCCTACAAGCCTGAACAAGCTGCCTCCTCAGTTCCTCCTCATTTTTTGCATTGCATGGAACATCTTTGCTCGTGCATGCCAGACCGTAGAGTGGCAGGTACAAAGGAGAAGAAAATGGGAGGAACTCTTCAGATCTTTGGCAGGGTTTCAGGATTGCTTTATGTGTAAGCTGGGCAAACCTGGACGTCCTCGTGCTGACAGACTAGGATTAAACTAGGCTGAAATGGGAGGCGGATTTGGAATCAGGCGCTTAAACAGTGCGACACGGTGTATTACTGGAAGGGGTTTAACTGTGATCTTACACCTGAAAGTTTTTTTATTTTGCAGAATTTCACATAGGAAATAATCACTCATATAGTTGAAAACTGGAATTTAAAAACACATTATAAGAAGACATCATTTCATTACTTCACTCTGAGATGCAGAGTATTTTTGAGGGACCCAAAATATTGGACACACCGATTACTATTATTTAACTGTTTAGTATTTCTGTAACATAAAAAAACTACTTTTATAAGGGTTTGATTTGCTCTGGTATATATATTATATATTATATCAAATGCTTCTGATATTAAAAGCATAATTTGTTTCTGTTTTAGAAAAAAAAAGCCTTGAAGACTACTTTGAAATTAATAACACAAAGAAAAACCTCCCTAATTGATATTTGCAACTAGATTAGGGGCCTTGCATCCAATGGCATGTCCTAAACAAATGGAGGGTCTTTTCTTACTTTCTCCAAAGAACAATCGCTGCTTTTTGTGTGATTGTTTGCTTTTTTAATTAGATGCATTTTAATTGGGTGGGGGGCAGCAGGAAAAAAAGGAATTAGAAACACCATTGACAGGAAAATGCACCCAGGAGGTATAGTTTCAAAAAATGATGTTTTTGGTCTTTCCTCAGATGCACTTACCACTGGAGTTTGGACGTATAGTGATCTACACCACCAGTTTCCGTGTGGTGAGGATTACTTTCGAGCGATGCGAGCTGGTCAGGAAGATCTTCCAGAACCACAGGGTGAAGTTTGTGGAGAAGAACATTGCTCTGGACAGCGAGTACGGGAAGGAGCTGGAGGAGCGGTGCAGACGTGTGGGGGAAGCCCCCTCACTGCCAGTAGTGTTCATTGACGGACACTTCCTTGGGGTTAGTCCCACATGCTGAGTCCACATATTTGGTTTTCTGTGCTTCTACTAATAATTGTTCTTATTAATGCATTGAAACCTGTTTCACAGGGTGCTGAGAAAATACTTGGCATGAACGAATCAGGAGAGCTGCAAGATCTACTGACTAAAATCGAGGTGGGTTTTTCCCCACAGCTAGTTTTAGAAAGAACATTATCAGAGATTGTTACTGAACAGATACATTTCCCAGGAAAGAGTTTCAGTTCGATGGACACAAATGATCCATTTTAACCATTGCAAATGTCCCAAAGCTTTAAAGTGAATAGATTTAACATAGGAAGTGAGGTGTCAAAAGTATTAATGTTTATTACTCAAGTAGAAGTATAAAAGTTCAATTTTTAAAACTACTTAAAGTATTAAAGTAAAAGTAATGCAGGAAAAACAAATTAAGGGCAGATGCTTTAAAGCTACAATTCTGAATGATAACTTAGCATCATCTTGAAAAAACTATTTATTTTGGTGTGCAGTGAACAACCAGTCCAACAGGCCGTAACTAAAATTAGCTTAAATTAAACAAAACTAACAAGTCTATATTTAAAATGCAACAAGTAGAAGGAATAGCAAAAAAAAAAAAAAATGTAAGGAGTAGAAGTAAAAAGTTGTCTAAAAAATAATTAGTTGAATAAAGTATAGAGAGCCAAAATTTCTACTTAAGTAAGATAATTAAATATTTGTACTTTTTTAATTGACACCTCTGCATAGGAAAAGCCATCTCCTCTCTCTCTCTCTCCTTAATAAAGCATAGCTTAATAAAAAACTACTTTGACATTGTTAACCAGGCATCTATCTTATTTGAATACATTAATCAAAAGCTGTCATAAGAAAGGACAGAACCGTTCAGGATAATGGAATCAGAAACACCAAGGAGCACTCACCACTGGCTAGAGAAAACAACAATAATCTGGCCCTGATAACTGGATGCAAGCACCTTAAATAGAGATAGGAGCAGGTGGATCAAATGAGAGGTAATGAGCAACCGGGCAGAATTGGACAGGTGAATGAAATGAATAATTAAGCTCATCATCAGATCATGAAAAAAGCAGATGGCTCCATGAGTTTACAGAAATCCCATAAAGAAATAATTTGTTCTCCCCTTTTTTTTATAAGGTTGGAAACTGAGCCCTCCAAAAAGAGAAACTGCTTACAAAGCTGACATTTAGTTTCTTTAGCCTCCAAGAAGGGTGCTGCCCTGAAAGGTCGTTCATACATAAATTAGCCTAAAACTGTCCCACAACATGCGTGCTTTCAAGCATAAAAACAAACTTATTCTCAGTGCTAATTTGGTCAAATAATAAGAGAGTGACATTTTAGGAGGCACACTCGTTTTCTGTGTAGTGGATCAGGAGAGGATCCACAGTAGGCCACTGCGTATCTGAAATATTAAATCAATGCAAGATGAGAACTGTAAATGTTTAAAATGCCCAGAAAACAATGATTCCCTCCTTTTGTTATGTCACATCTGTGAGTTTTAAAGTTCAGGTGCTGGTCATAAAATTAGAATATCATGAAAAAGTAGATTGATTTCAGTAATTCCATTTAAAAAGTGAAACTTGTATATTATATTCATACATTACATACAAACTCATATATTTCAGATGTTTATTTTGTTTAATTTTGATGATTACAAATGACAACAAATGAAAATCTCAAATTCATCATATCAGAAAATTAGAATATTGTGAAAAGGTTCAAAATTGATGGCCCCTGGTGCCACACTCTAATCAGCTAATTAACTCAAACCACCTGCAAAAGCCTTTAAATGGTCTTTCAGTCTAGTTCTATAGGCTACACAATCATGGGGAAGACTGCTGACTTGACAGTTGTCCAAAAGACGACCATCGACACCTTGCACAAGGAGGGCAAGACACAAAAGGTCATCGCTAAAGAGGCTGGCTGTTCACAGAGCTCAGTGTCCAAGCACATTAATAGAGAGGCGAAGGGAAGGAAAAGATGTGGTCGAAAAAAGTGTACAAGCAAGAGAGATAACCGCACCCTGGAGAGGATTGTGAAACAAAACCCATTCAAAAATGTGGGGGAGATTCACAAAGAGTGGACTGCAGCTGGAGTGAGTGCTTCAAGAACCACCACACACAGACGTATGAAAGACATGGGTTTCTGCTGTCGCATTCCTTGTGTCAAGCCACTCTTGAACCACAGACAGCGTCAGAAGCGTCTAAAGAGAAACAGGACTGGACTGCTGGTGAGTGGTCCAAAGTCATGTTCTCTGATGAAAGTAAATTTTGCATTTCCTTTGGAAATCAAGGTCCCAGAGTCTGGAGGAAAAGAAGAGAGGCACTTCATCCACGTTGCTTGAAGTCCAGTGTAAAGTTTCCACAGTCAGTGATGGTTTGGGGTGCCATGTCATCTGCTGGTGTTGGTCCATTGTGTTTTCTGAGGTCCAGGGTCAACGCAGCCACATACCAGGAAGTTTTAGAGCACTTCATGCTTCCTGCAGCTAACCAACTTTTTGGAGATGCAGATTTCATTTTCCAACAGGACTTGGCACCTGCACACAGTGCCAAAGCTACCAGTACCTGGTGGAAGGACCATGGTATCCCTGTTCTTAATTGGCCAGCAAACTCTCCTGACCTTAACCCCATAGAAAATCTATGGGGTATTGTGAAGAAGAAGATGCAATACACCAGACCCAACAATTCAGAAGAGCTAAAAGTCACTATTAGAGCAACCTGGGCTATCATAACACCTGAGCAGTGCCACAGACTGATCGACTCCATGCCACGCCGCATTGCTGCAGTAATACAGGCCAAAGGAGGCCCAACTAAATACTGAGTGCTGTACATGCTCATACTTTTCAGTTGGCCAACATTTCTATAAATCCTTTGTTTTTATTGGTCTTCAGTAATATTCTAATTTTCTGATATGATGAATTTGAGATTTTCATTTGTTGTCATTTGTAATCATCAAAATTAAACAAAATAAACATCTGAAATATATGAGTTTATATGTAATGTATGAATATAATATACAAGTTTCACTTTTTAAATGGAATTACTGAAATCAATCTACTTTTTCATGATATTCTAATTTTATGACCAGCACCTGTATTTTGTGCTAAAAGAGGCTTCGAAAGGCTTGTGACGATGAGGAAAAGGAAGCTGGTTTTAAAATTGTTCTACAGCAGAAATCTGAAAAGTGTGATTTGATGGTATTTTACTACAGAAAAACAAAAGACTTTACTGTCTACACATCTATAGACACTGAAATATTTGTCTATTCTTCTTAGCAAAATAAATCCAGATCTTTCAGATTGGAAGGAGAGGGTTTGAAGGTTTTTCTTCAAACTAAATGCTAAATGCAAGGTTTCTATAATGTAAAATCTTCTTAAATGTCAAATACCCTTTTTTCCTTTACTTTACAATACAAAACCCCTTGTGTTGGTTATGACTTTTAAATAAAATGTGTGGAAGTTTGTTAATGTGATGTCACAAAATGTGGAAAATGTTTACAGGGTGTGAACACTTTTGCAAGACTAAAACCCAGACAATGTGGTCAGAGTATAGTTCAACATCTGTCTGAATATAAAAACAAAAAAGTGAATTAAATCACTTTGTCCTAGAAGAAGCTTATCTTTTCCTTTTCTGCTGCTAAATTAATAAAAAATCCTACTTATCACAGTCATCTACAATTTTTAACTATTTTCTATTTGTATGGGAATTTTTGCATTAAAAAATCAATCCAGGCTTTATTTACACATGTGATGTTTTTTAATGTCCAGAAACTAAAATAACTTTTTTTTTTCCCGTATGCCAGAGGGTTCAGCTTCCCCAGACGTGCCAGACCTGCGGAGGCTTCGCCTTCATCCCCTGCTCAATGTGCCATGGCAGCAAGATGTCTGTGTTTCGCAACTGCTTCACAGACTCCTTCAAAGCCCTCAAGTGCACTTCCTGCAACGAGAACGGCCTGCAGCCCTGTGTGAGCTGCAGCCAGTGAGGATGCTGTGTGCCTGGACCTAAAAACAGGAACCTGACATGGACCAGAACAAGGACAGTGAAACACACCACAGCAGGAATCTTTCTCCACGGCCATCATCATGACAAAAATGGACATTTCTAATAAAATCTGTCAACTTTCTGATTGTCTCTGTGCCTCTCAGGTTTCTTCTGAAAAAACATCAACTGAAGTGTCACGAACTAGCCTGCCCTCTGGGAAACACAAGCTTGTTAGTCAGGAGGCGCCTTAATTAACAAATCTCTCGTCTCTAATCCTGTATCAGACACGGTTGTGGGACACTCGGGACAAACGGCGAAAGTCAGGGGCTCAGTTTTCAGACAGTCAAAGGAGGCAAGCTTTGCTCACAGGGAAGCTCAGAAATCAATTGAGGCTAAACCCTGAGAGAGAACATTAAAAGGCCCTCAGAGCTCACCATGGAAAAAGCAAAGTGTGGGTCTCTTTTTATTTAGGCAAACCCTTAATCGTTTAATTTGAACCAAATCAATACAGGTACATACAAAAAATGAGGAAATCTCAGGACATTTATTTATTATTCATTAATTGCAGTAATTCAATTCAAATATGAACCTCATATATTTTATCTGGATTCATTAAACACATAGGGACATAATTCTGGTGTTATTTGGATTATTTTGATTTGAAGTAAGCTCATGAGTTGACATATGAAAAGGTAGTATAAATATATAAAATCAGATAAAAAAAACCTACAGAAAATTATTTCCATGCTCTTTACATCTGTAGTTGATCTTGCAGAGTAGCACCTCTGAAGGGTTTAGGTCGGGCCAAGGATTTCTGATAATGACACAGCCTTTGTTCTTGATAAGGCTCAGTGGATTGACATTTGAACCCCTCCAACTTATCCTGAATCTCCAGCAGCTTACACTCTGCATCGCCCAGCTTTTTAAAACTCTCTACATTTTGAATGAAAAGCCAAATTGTCATGGAAAGACTCACAGCCACTGAGCAACATCCAGTCCTTCCCCTTGAAGCCCTTCTGATATCTGCTTTTCAAAACAGGCCTAACAAGCAGTGGGAGACGATATCTGGGTTACGTCTGCATCTGTGTTGAAGGTCTCCTTCCATCTGCAATCTACGCCTTCCAAATCTTTCTCCTCTTTTCATTGAGTTTTGTTTCCCTGTCCTTCAGGGCTGTATTTATCTAGCCCGAACAGCCAGATTGTCTTCCTCGGGTGTAGATCAGTCTCCACTGTAAATCATATCCGACCAATCACAGCGTGGGGAGGCAGGCCCATAATGCAACACTGCTTTTCTGTAACCATAACAGCCAGAACTACAGCTGCAGTTGTGCAATGTTTTCATAAATCTTTAACATTTCCTATTTAATCATTTATATTTTTTGTTAATAAATACTTTTTTGCGTCACATACATAGTTGCCTGATTGGTTCTAACCCATTTACAATGACAGCCAGTTACCCCCGCTGCCTGCCGCCTCCCCTTTTTTTCCCCTCACGCTTTTTTCCCTCCAGTCAATTTTCCATTTATGTATTGGACACTGAATTCAGGGAAATACCCGTCTTTAGCAGCTACCCTTTATATTATATTGATGAATGACTGCATTAAAGACGGTGAACTTTGAACCAACAGGGAGGCGTTCCAAGGACTGTGGGACAGAATCACACCACTCCATGAAAATAGATAAATTAAAAGTCATTTATTTTACTAACTTTCACTTCTGGCCAGACAGATGGGTATAAGGAACAACTTCCGAATACAGACGTCTTTGATGTAGGACAATTATAAAAATAATCAGTTGTGCTTACAATTCACTTCAGTAAAATGGAAACTATTGATTGAAATCAGTGCATGAACATTTACATTATTCATAAAATAAAAGCTCTAGAGCAGAAGTTCCCAAACTTTTTAGCTTCTGACCCACAAAATGGTACAAACATTTCTACAAAATCAGTCCATCCCTGGTGTAATATTAAAAACAGCATTAATAGCAAAGGTTTTGTCCATTTGTAAACAAATGCATTATAAATATAATATAAGCAGGTATATTGTTATGATTAATTTCTGATGAAGGACCTTAAGTGGGATCTACCTCTACAGAGACGATCAGCAGGAAAAAAAATCATGCACAACAAAAACTATGGATGTTCACAGGCAATAAAACATTGGTTTAAGTCACAAACAAATACAAGTTTATAATTTTTCAATTTGCCATCTCATCACTTTAGGCTCCAGGTCAAGTTGCTGCATATTTTAATGTATTATTTTAATAGATGAAACCATTTACAGTGTGAATTGTTTTTTAACTTAATGTTGCACTTTATCCAGTGTATTTATACATGTACACTGCAAAAGCCATCTAGAAATAAGATATTTCTTAAATTAATCGCATTTGTCCTTAATTTGATTTCCCCTAGGAATTAATAGTTTTAATCTTAACATAAGATCATTAAATATTATGCCCTTGAAATAAAACAATGAAATATATATATATATATATTTTTAGCTCTAAATTGTCTTGTCCTATTGGCAAAGTGTCTCACTTACCTTCTCAATTAAAGAAAATGTGCACTTATTTTAAGAAAAAAATGACTTTTTTAGTTTGCAATTTTTTTGCAATGTAGGTTCTGGTCCCTGTTTTTGAAAAACGACCAGATGAAACCCCAATAAAGCTTTTAGATATGAACTAAATGAAGTAATAAGTGTAATGGGGGGGCATATAGCATCCTCTATAATCTTTGGGTGACACATAGATGGTTTGAGATTTGGCGCGACAAATGGGCAGCTTCCCTGAGTGGAATAACATTAAAAAGGGTTGATAGAAAATATCAGTCATTTTTTCATCTAAACCAGTTTTCTATTTCTTTTGCACATGCACAGTAAAAAGAAGGAACTGCACTTTGTCTCATCCCATCCAATAAGCAGCAGCATGCCCTGGAGGGGACGTCTCCATCCATGCAAGAACTCAATAGAATCAAAAGCCACCGAAGAATTAAACATCTTTTTTTTTTATAAAAAATGAAATAGTTACACATTCTGCCATGATGGAAATTTGAATTTAGTGTTAAAGCGCCAGTTTCTCATTCTTGTGAAGATAATCAGAAAAATAGATTTTCTTTTCTAAGCCCTGCTTAATGTGATCACCATAACTGTATCTCTGCTCACATAGCCGAAGGAAAAAATAACTGTTGCTTTAAAACAGAGAATAATAATAAATGAATTCATTCCAGCTGTGAAGATCAAAGAGCATCTGTCCTGAATGGACCAGTTACCACTGCATGTAACCCCGCTATCACACAGCAAACTGTAAATAATAGAGAGAGAAAAAAAATACAAACTACAAAACATGAGCAGTAACAGCACATTAATCTCAAAGCAGGCTAATTCTCTACAGGGAAATTAAGATTTAGAAATCTGTATCAGAGCTTAAATGATCTTGGCCCCCTTCCCCCCTGATGGTTTGGGGTCTCCGGGTTTACTTATGCCTCAGGCTGGCTCTATGGCTTTGAAAGGAGAAGCAGCACAGCTCTCTATGCTGTCATAGCCCTGTACAATGCTGCTTGAACATGATTAGACAAGGCAGCACCGTAAAGAGGCTAAAAGCGTAGAGAAGAACATGATGATGATCTCCTCTTCCCCCTGCGATTCAAAACATATATTATTAAACTATTTCATCACTGCAGGGTTGGAATCCATATAGGTGATAAAAATGGTCAGAAAAAAATAAGCTGTAATAGGATTAAGTATGATGAGATTCTGGGTTTTGTGAAGACAGGCTTGAAGTGATGGAGAAAAGGGGAGCCCCTGTGAAGGCTCAGTGCGCCCCCTTCTGGAGGATGATGGAGATGAGAAAACAGGAGAGGAGGAGGGGGGTGTGAAGCAGATATACAATAAAAAATGTCCATAAACACTATTATTTCTAAATGCATGCACAATAATAAAATTTGTGCATAATGGATGATGAAAGTCTCCTTTCAGCGTCCAGCTGCTGGAGATGAGATGATGCATGTTGGTGATCTGCAGGAGCGCATCGACGCTCTTCTGATCTCTGATGATCTGATCGCTATTTTTAATTCTCCAATGTTCCTAAGCGAGCATGTGGTGTGTGAAGACGGTGTGACATGGAGGGGAAAGGAGATGGACAGCATTACAGCTGACCTGGGGATGGGAAGACGAGACATGACGCCGACGATGCGCGCAACACCCAGAAATGCTCACACAAAATTTAAAGGTTAATAAAATAAAACCTGCAGTGGTGGGATCGTCCGCAATGCGTCCGGCTCTCCAAAGATCTGCGAATAAGGAGAATGTTAAAGGTTATATCAGTGGAGTAACGCAGCGCGGTCCGGCGGCGGCGCTGTGCCTAATGTTTTTGAATGGTCGCTCAATGCGCAGACTGGTTGGAAATGACTGTTTTTATTGACGTCAGCGTTCTGGCTCTCTCTCATCTCCACAACGGCACCATCTAATGGCTTTTCTTTGCAGTTAACCTTCTTAGGTTCAGGCTGCAAACGGGGCCCCCCGATCTGCAGGAAAGGAGGACATATGGGGCCCCAGATGGAAACATCTGCAGACCAAAATATCTCCAATCACAGCAAAGGTACACACAGTGGAGAGCCACACATTACCAGAGAGATTAGGAACTGTCTGTAACTACATGGATATATAAGGGCCTCATGTATTGGTTTTTTTAATTTTTTATACAAAGTCAACCTATTTTACTCTAAGTAGAGTATTTACAAGTATAATGAGTGTAAGCCTGCTCAGGTGTTGGAGTCAATGGCGTAACTATCAGTAAGAGGGCCCCAGACCTCTTAGGGGCCCCGTCACTGACATATGGTTGGTCCCCTACTCAGTTAGGGACTAGGGCATCTCCTTGCAGATACAATGGTGCGAAAAATTCCTCTTAAATCCACCTGATATTTGATTGACTGACCGAACTTTATTTATACCCCAACGCATGGCAGATTCCAACAACACCAATAGCAAAGCAGAGAGTGGTACTTTTAATTACCATGTTAATAACTGTGTATAGTTCATTAGACGGTTGGTGGTCGGTAAAAAAAAAAATACACTCATATCATATGTTTCAAACCGCAATAAAGATCTTAAAAGAACAATGTATTTGAGTATTTAATTTTTTACA